TGGTGAGGTGGCCCTGGGGGAGCCCTGCTTGTGGTCCTACCAGTCCATGACAGTGATGTCCGGCTGCTCATCGTCCATCAGCTCCTCCCATAGGCCCTCCGCCAGGAGGTCCACGCACTGTTGCTTCACCATCCAGCTGCCAAGAGACGGTGAGAGGGGTGGAACAGTGGGATCCGCGTCACCAGGAGATGGGGTGTCCACCCGGCCCCGGGTACCCCTCAGTTTCAGGTTCAATGAGCCCTGAGTGGCAGTTGAGGAAGCTGAGGCTCACAGTGGAGAGTGGCTTGCCCAAGGCCAAGCAGCACAGAAATGGCCAAGCGGGGGTGGAAGCCCGGTACGGGGACTCTGAGCTCCCTGGCACCATCCAGCGGGTGAGCAGAACTTGGGCAGCGTTTAAGGATATCCCAGGGAGAGGGGAGGAGCGAAATCTCCAAACCCAAACTCACTGCCTTCGAGCCGATTCCACCCCATTGCGACCCGACAGGACAGGGTAAAAACGGCCCCCATGGGTTTCTGAAACTAAAACTCTTTACAAAGGTACAAAGCCCCATCTTTCTCCTGTAGTGCAACAGGTGGTTTCGAACTGCTGCTCTTGTGGTCAGCAGCCCAAAGTGACCACTTCATCACCTGGGCCCCTCTGCAGAGGGCACGAGATATAACCAGAGCAGGTGCGGTTTCCTGAGCCTGTGCTATCCCGGAGGAGAGGGCTCGTTGGGGCTCCCACTGGTCCATTTTTCTGAAGTGGGTCACCAGCACTTTCTTCCGAGGCCTGCCTGCCGGGACTGGAACCGCCATACTCTCTGCTAGCAGCCGAGCTCATTAACCATTTCCACCACTCTGGGAGCTGGGCCCTTTGCCGTCGGGCTTTAGGAGCATTTCCTCCTGTGACTAACCCTGTGTACAGGTCAGGAAACTGAGGCCTGGAGAGCAGAGTTAAGTGCTCTGGATTCCAGAGCAAGGAAGCCCAGAGCCGGATTCCAACCCAGGCCACTCGGGCCCTGGAGCCTCACCTGAGGTCCTGCTGCAGTTGCTCCGTTTTAATGAACCACCCTTTGAAATTGCCTGCCGGGGGAGGAACACAGGGTGAGAACGTCCCCAGGCTGGAGCCCCCAGCCTGCCCCCCAGTCCTCCCCGCCTCCCTCCCACTTACCGAGAGCCTCCAGGGGTTGCCAGGTAGGGCCAATGTGAGGGGCGGGCTCATAAATGTTGATGCCTGAAATGCAGAGGGAAGGACATCAGGCCTTACTGAGGTTCCGTCACCTCCCCATACACACACACACACACACACACACACACACACACACACCACATACCCACATGCATGCACTCATACATATACATACACATATACACACCCTTGTATACATTACACACATATACAAAAAACACACACCTCACCTCTACACATATATAGCTCACACACAAACTTACACACACATCACATGCATAAACACATATACATATATGCACACATATACCCATATATACATTATGCACACACACATATACATCTTGCATACACATATACACGCATATCTTACACACACCTATACATGCCCATATATATATATACACACAAACATACACACCCAGATATAAATTACACACATGCACAAAAGCATAAACACACATTTCATATATACACATACATATCTCCCACACACAAACTTACACACGCACATATAACATACAAACACACACGCACATATGTATGCACATAAGCACAAGCTCACACATCTCATACACATACACATAAAAACCCATATACACATGCATACATCTACATCATACACACCTATCTATACATATACACATACTCGTATATGCACACACAGATACTCATAAACACACATACATACACACATTCCCGACACCTCTGTACCCCACCTGACAGACACCAGCATCAGGCCCCCTCCAGGAAATCGTCCTGAGAGCGTGGGATTGGCGGGTAGGAATCTGGACCAGGGGTGGTAGGGCTGGGAGAAGAGGGATGGTTGCGAGGCAGAGACAGAAGAACAAAGAGCCAGCCGGGGACCAGGAGGCACAGAAGCTTTGGTACAGAAGGAGGCAGACAGGGAGAAAGACAAGGATTTAGACTAGAGGCTCAGCGGGGAGAATCCACGGCCGCCCAGTCCTTCTGACTCCTAGCGACCCACGGGACAGAGGAGGACTGCTCCCTAGGAATCCCAAGACGGGCACGCTGTGCGCAAGCAGGCAGCATCCTCTTTCTCCCGCGGAGCAGCGGGGCGGTTCAAACCGCCAACCTTCCGACTGGCAGCGCGCTGCTTAACCCGCTGCGGCACCCGGATGCTTCCGGGAGCGGGGAGAGGGAAGAGCAGAGACGCGGAGACGTGGCCGCGGGCGCGCGGGCAGCGGGGAGGCGGACGGGCCGCGCACCTTCGGGGTTGGGCGAGCGCAGCAGGTTGCGGTAGAGCGGGCGCCGCAGGAAGAGCAGCCTCCAGCTCAGGTGCGCCGGCAGCTGCAGGCTCCCGCCC